CATATGCCAGCAAAAAATGGAGACTGGTCATATTAGGTCACTACCAGCTTGATCTGGATTTAAATAGGAAAACTAAAGATGGAAAGCACCAAATGTCATGAATGAAAATGTTAAGACAGGAAAGATTTACTGTTTGGCATATCGTACCTCTCCGAGAACGTGTCTTGTTTCTCCAAAGTAACATAATTGTAAAATGTTACAGCAGCGGTAAGTAAATACATATATTTTGATTGCCATTATGGCACAAGCAGTTGGTAAAACTAGGGTAATTTTATTGTAGAAAGGAGTTAGAGGCTCTTCTCCTTCTGTTTCAGATTTACAAATAAGGACAAGAGCATTATTCTCTTGATACTGCTATAACCTACAACCCAAAGTTTTCTGTGAAGCTTTCAAAATTGCTAGTTTACCCGTGCCACACAATTGGTTACTCCTATCCAGTGGTACACATCCCAGCTATCTTTTCGCACTGCACACCCATAAATTGCACTGTCAGAGCATCAAAAACTACAAGTCTCTCCTATCTGAGGTGAGAGGCCCTGCCCATCCTCAGTTGGAGACCAAATTCTGGATCACACTAAGAACTCCCATAATCAACACTGTTAAATCAGAGGAGCAGGTTTGTAAGGGCCACGTCTTTAAAGACTCAGAAAATACAAGCAGAATATCAGAGACAGCTTCCAGAAAGTTGGCCGTGATTAATATAGATATTAGTTCTATTTGAATTCTTGTTGTCCAACCATCCAAAGTCAAAGGTACTCGAGCAAACCAACTCTAGCTGGTTAGTTTAGGGTTAAACATCTATCCACAGACCTTTTTTACAATAAAAAAAATTGTGTTATTCAAGATTAAGCTTCTTTAAACATAAAACTAAATTCTTAGATTAAAGAAAAAAGCAAATCTAATAGTGCTTCCTCACTATAACATTTCCAGCTCCATCGGAAATGATTTAAATACACCCATTAATAATGTGCACTTTATTGTAATATACAGTGCTTTGGCTTCTTACCAGCCTGAGTGTACGGCACCAATGAAACTCGTTGCTGCAGGGGGCTGTGGCTTCAAGAGGGGCTCCCATCTATTGTATATGTTGTTTTGTATGTTTTCCAATGGCACTAATTATTGCAGGTGGTAGCATTTCACTGGCATGACCATTGCTAAAGAAAATAGTAAAGTGTATCTTATTGTGCAAAGTGACTAGCAAATATATAGAGAAGAGAAAATTAAATGAATTGTTAAACTGATGTATAATAAGTTATTTTATTGATTTAATGCACATGATTATGAAAATGAACTTCCATTTATATCAATTATATAGAGGCAAAAAATAATTTATTCTTCTGGTCACCTGTTTGGCTAACTGACTCAGCAGGGTATCAGAGCGCACAAAATGTGAGCCATTTGGAAAATGGGATTTTAAAGTTTCCTCTTTCACAATGAAAAATAATGGTAGTTATTGCCAATTCATGAAAAAGCAGAATGAATTGTGGAGGGTGAGTGAAACTGTGCAGCCGCGGTCAAGGTTGTAAAGTACAGCGGCTCTGAGTTTTGCCAGTCCTTTAACCATGAGGAAGCACATTTATACATAGACGATAATCTGCGATGTCTGACTAAACCAGGGAAGCAAAATTCTGCATAGAAACATTTTGGCTAAGTGCCTTCTTCAAGTGTCCTTATCTAGGGTTTCCACAAAATGGTACCTTGCATAACAATTCTCAGCAGACAAGTGCCCAGTTAAAAATGTTGGTAGCTTTAGCAGATCACTACCACAGTAGTATTTTTCAAACATATTTTCCTGAATTTCATTATTCTTCAGCTGTTTGCAAAAAAAGCATCACTTAGAGTTAGTCGGTTTGGAGTTGGGCGGGGACGTTTTGTTTGGGAGGGGGGGTTTGGTTTTTTTTTCCGGGAGGATAGCGTAAATAAAAAGAGGATTAAAGCAAAATACATAATAGCAGCTAGACATGGGGAAAGAGGCAAGACTCGAAACGTGAACAAGTGTTTTCAGTTTGCTCAGTTGGGTCTCTCTTACCACTAATTCTGGTGTCTGGAGAGCAGCAGTAAGCATAAACAAAACTGCATTGTATCGCAAAACCCAGTGTCAGTGCTGCATCCCGGCCATGGAGCACTGCGGACTATTAAAAGTGCCACATTGGCTATCAGAAGTATGCCAGCTCTTCGTTCGTCCGCCGTACATGTACCCGTGATCACTCAGCTCTCCTGCCCTTTAAATGATTTATTTAATTGTTATTCTTTTAGGAAAAACGGTTTTATTCCCCTAGTTCTTTAGTAACTTAAAAATACATTTTCACTGCATTTTTTGCCTTATTTTAGTTCTAAAGGTCAAATAGTGATTGAACAATGGCTTGCTGAAGGGAAAAATAACCCTACAGTGTGCCCCGTACAATGAAATATGTTGAACTACTCTTTGAATGTTGACTGAATTTTTTAACCTTTGTGGCACTGGAAGCATGAAACTTCCTGTCAAAAACTGGTGCCCAGAATATAGCAGCACTGAGCATATTATCTTATAGACAGTCTGCTATCCCCTGAGCCTAGGATACCTTAGACAAAGCCAACCCACAAGGTTTACATTTGAAACAAAATAGCGGAGACAAGATTTAAATGTATGTTTTCAGATGAGCTTCCTATAAGAAATGATTAATATATTTTAAAATGTGGGGAGGATATAGATGAAGATAGTATTGGTGGAGGCATATAATAATACCAGTTCTTTTTAATCAGAATTTCAAATTCATTTTAAAGACAGATATATGCTTTGGAATTTGATTTGCAATACATTTTACTGTTTTTATTACACATTTTATCAGAATTGTTTTGTGCGCACTTCCTAATAGTTGTAGTTCTTAATTTATACGGGATTGTCCTCTAAGCTTTTGAATGATAGCTAAGGCATATAGTCAGCAGGTAAAAAAAAATTTGAATATTTAAAATAGGCATTTTCTTTATAGTACTCTGCGGTAATTAAAATCTTCATTTGCTTAAAAGCAAGGAGCCTTTTTAAAGCAATAAATTAGCATTGCTTGACCCAAGGTCACTAGTAGTGCTGCTTCTTTCAGTGCTATTAATACCTCAAAGAAAAAGAAGGGGTGGTGTTATCACTCTATTGCAATAGAAGTAAGATTTTCAATTTAATCACAGTTAAGTGTCATGACCTTTTGATCTTGCATTGACTTCTCACTGAAATGCGGTCAAATTTCAGGCAGCTAATTCTGAACCTTGCAGAGTCAAGGTGAAGTGAGGAAATAGGTTTACCACAAATGTAGGTGTTTTTATATAGTAATAAATGGTTTCATTATTTAAGTGAGGTTTTAGTTAAAACTTTTGATAAAAGAATAAATTCATCCTAAATTGTTTTGTCCCCAGAACTGATAAAATGGTATTTCCTTTAACTCTGTAATCTTTCTGTGGCCCTGAGGACACTTGGTTAATAGGGAGCTTTACTTTAGAAAAAGATTTTCTTTCCGACACAAAATATTTTTTCCAAGTGCAAAGGAGACAGGAAAAAATAATGATAAATCAAAAAACTTTGTTTACTTGAAATTTCTGCTAGAAGAATTTTTCTTTTTAACAAAAACACTTTTTAGCACATAAGAAAGGTAATACGATATAAAAAGACTACAGAAATGCTCTTATGGGTCATTTTATTGTTCCAGGCAAGTGAATTAATATGTTAGTTGGAGACTTATAAGTGGGAACTTGTAGAACTCACTAGTTGTACACATTCAAAAGCCTTTGATCTTGCATTATACCACTCTAAATCAGGAGCTATGCCATTCATTTCATGGGCATTATACAACTGCAACCACAATGAAAGTATGATGAGAACCATCTGATCTTTTATCTGTACTGCAAATTTCTGTTTCTGTGACACACCAGCAGCAATCTTTGGCTTTTATAGAGTTGCTTATGCTAGTTTGAAAACATAACTTTATGCTTTATTGTGTGTCAGACCAAGTCTGAATGTTATAAGAGCCACGTAGAAAAGTAGTTTAAATCAGCTTCCTTTAAAGGGAAGATTTCCTGAAGCCTAATTTATGCTAATGCATAGGCTGAACACCCTAGGTAGTGCTTTAAACAAGATTCAGTTTCTTCCCAGCGTAAATGTTACCAGGGTGCCGGGCTTCTTGCATTATCATGTCCTAGTGCAACACTCCTGGCCTTAGTTTGTACTCTCAACCTTTTGAGGAAGTCTGGCGCCTCTGATCTACTTTCCATAGCATACCCTGTAATTTTTGGCTGTATTTTATGTTTTTCAGATTCAAGTCAATCTGAAAGTCCCAGCCAGCCAAGTGAAGCTGATATTAAGGACCAGCCAGAAAATGGTAAGTTTTTACCTGCTGCTGTGTTGGAATATTGCAACAGTCCATGTTTACAAGGCTTTTCGTGCTCAAGTACTGAGCACATATACCTAATAAAAAACGGCTCAGTCTTTGAACTATTGACTGTAGGCAGCTGAAAATGAATGGAGTACCTACATCATAGTTAAAATGCCATGGGTTCATAAAAATACAGTAGCATTTGTCTCTTCAATCCTGGAGGGAGACCTTTATTCCATTAAAAATTGTTTTAATTAGGAGGATCTGTGATAGAGCCTGCTGTATGGAGCACCGGTGCTTATTTGTCTAGAGCAGAGGCATTCAATCCATGGGTCATGAGACACAACCCCCTCGGGGGTGCCGACGGCATTACTTTCACTTCCACAGGGCCCGATCTCGGTGCTTTTAACTTCATTTTGTTTATTGACATTTTTGTGATAATGTAACACTAAAGCACCTGACTTACTGCACGCTTGCAGCTCAGTTTAGATGGAGGGATCGCCAATAATCTTGTAAAACAAAATGGTTGCTTTGAAACATTTTGTTTCTGTAGCGCTTTCCTCTACCCTGAAAAATACACAAAACAAAACTGACTGGCAGCTATGCTGAAGCATTGCGATCTCAAA